CTGAGGCTTGCTCCTCTGCTGGTGGTCCCTCCCTCCCTGAGAAGAGCAGAGACCTCAAAATAGCTGAGGATGCTTCCGTAAGGTGGGCGTGAAGGGGAAGTGCTGGTGCCTGGCAGTCCTGCTGGCTGATCTGCCAGCTCTTATCCCGCTCTGTGCCCAGGAGAGGAGCTTTTCTGCAGCTTCAGCTTTCTCCTGCGCGTGTTCCTGGTACCCAGAGGGATGTGGCTGAGCTCAAGCTGAACGGCAGGAGAGAGGCGGGCGGTTCTGAGGGTGGCTGTTGTCAGTCACAGCATTTACCCATTGTAGGGTGAAAAACCTGACCTAATGAGGGGTTTCTTGCTCTTGGGACAGGTAGCCGTGCATAGGGATTTCCTCTGCCCACCATAACCACCCCGGCAGAGCTCTGGACGTGTGTCATGAAGTAAATGACAGTTCCTATAGATGAAGGCAACTCAGTGACCATCAGCAGTAGCTCCTGGCTTTCTCTGCTCACAGAGCCTGTGGAGGAGGTCTTAGGATCCTGGAAGCTCTTCTTGGAGGAGCTACCAGGATCTTTAAACCTTCCATGCTAGTGCGGGGGTTCCCAGGAAGGAATTCTTGCTGCCTCAAAATGCGTCGTTGACCTGTGAGGTATCTGTTATAGGAAAGTCAATCATTTATTCTGGAAATCTGAGAGCAATATAGTATTTTTTGACTTTGTTCATACTCTCATTGTACTGGTGTAGCTGTTTTGGGATTGCTTGGTAGGACAGAAGCCTTGTGACACGGCTTGAGTTGAAAACAACACCGAGTCCTCCAGGGGGAACAGAAATGAGGGGTTTATCTCTGACGTCTTTGCTGATCTTGGTGTGGTCTCTCAAGGAGGATGACCTAAGCCATGGCTCGATGACCTAAGCCTGGATCTGGATTCCTTGTACTGGTGCCTTAATCACGCCCTGCGTGGTCACCTTTGAGCATGAATCTGACACCGTGAATTTGTCCCAGCATGAGAAATGTTGCTGCATTCACGTCTGGGGATCATGTGTTGCATCCGTCAGGGAGCATATCTGATTACGTTTAATGGAGAGCCCATAAATAATAAATTTTTTGGAAGTGGGCTGTTTGTGAAGAGGCTGGAGCCAGTCCTCGGTGTGTTCTCCCAAGGGTGTCTCTGCTTGGCTTTGTGATGCTTCTGCCGGGGTGTGCCCACACCCCGCGTGGGTGATGCACGCCCCTCGGTGGGTAGATACACGTTTGTTGAGGCAGAGCTCCATCGCTGCTCGTCCCCCTCCTTCCCTGTGCCCCCGTGTGGAAAACACACTGTCAGGTTCAATGTTGCCTTTTCCACCAGCTGGGTGATAACAGGTAAATCTTACAATTGCTCCTTTTCTCCCCGCTCCTTTGCTGTGGATGACTTCTCTCTATTTATAACCTGCTGCATTCGGGAGTTGTTTCCCTGGGCTCTCATGACCTCAGTGATATTTTGACTTTGGGGTACATAAGAAGCAGCATTGTAGGCATCTTGCATGGTCGGGCGTGACTATTGTTGTTGCCAGCTGAACAGTACTTATTTTTTTGGCTGGTTCTTATGTTCTCACCTTTCAGTGGCTGAGAGAAGAGCCCCTTTGGGCTCTCTGTAGCCACTCTCCTGTCTATTTACAGCTGCACACAGCAACCTTGTTTATTAACAAGTTCTTGGAAGTGGAATCCTCTAGAATAGAAATCACGGTGCTGCGGGGGGTGTGTGTCTAGAGAAAGGTTTGGTACAAATGCCTTGGCCCATCAGTGCGTTGAGGCGGCATAATTGTCATCTTTGCTGCTCCCCTAGATCTGCTCCAAACAGCATTTTCTCAAATGCCTTTTTTTTCATATAACCCAAACTGTCCATTTCTTTAAAGCTGTCTCATTCAAATGCTTCTTGCATCAAAAAAACCTTATTCCTTTCCCCATTTCCACTGTATCAACTACCACATCAGCACCTTCCTCTGCAATTTTTATTTCCTCCAGAACTGAGTTTTCCTATAAATCTTTTAATTTTCATTACAGGGTGACCAGGATCATCTAGGGAGGTCCTGTAACCGTTTAAACAACTAGTTGGCCGTTGTAGGATGGTGCTGGAAAAGAACATTGGGCTTCAAAACTCTTGCAGACACCTGAAACTGTGCTCAGGGGACTTGCAGGAGAGAAGATGGGAGCAGGGCCCAAAATCCATATTTCTGAGCAATATTCAAACTATCGGTTACTTGATATTTCAGAGTGTGCTTTATAGTTAGTGGATATATTAAAAGTTGCACTATTTTTGAAACCTAATTCTGGTCTTCCTGGGGACCTCAAAATAGCTGAGGATGCTTCCGTAAGGTGGGCGTGAAGGGGAAGTGCTGGTGCCTGGCAGTCCTGCTGGCTGATCTGCCAGCTCTTATCCCGCTCTGTGCCCAGGAGAGGAGCTTTTCTGCAGCTTCAGCTTTCTCCTGCGCGTGTTCCTGGTACCCAGAGGGATGTGGCTGAGCTCAAGCTGAACGGCAGGAGAGAGGCGGGCGGTTCTGAGGGTGGCTGTTGTCAGTCACAGCATTTACCCATTGTAGGGTGAAAAACCTGACCTAATGAGGGGTTTCTTGCTCTTGGGACAGGTAGCCGTGCATAGGGATTTCCTCTGCCCACCATAACCACCCCGGCAGAGCTCTGGACGTGTGTCATGAAGTAAATGACAGTTCCTATAGATGAAGGCAACTCAGTGACCATCAGCAGTAGCTCCTGGCTTTCTCTGCTCACAGAGCCTGTGGAGGAGGTCTTAGGATCCTGGAAGCTCTTCTTGGAGGAGCTACCAGGATCTTTAAACCTTCCATGCTAGTGCGGGGGTTCCCAGGAAGGAATTCTTGCTGCCTCAAAATGCGTCGTTGACCTGTGAGGTATCTGTTATAGGAAAGTCAATCATTTATTCTGGAAATCTGAGAGCAATATAGTATTTTTTGACTTTGTTCATACTCTCATTGTACTGGTGTAGCTGTTTTGGGATTGCTTGGTAGGACAGAAGCCTTGTGACACGGCTTGAGTTGAAAACAACACCGAGTCCTCCAGGGGGAACAGAAATGAGGGGTTTATCTCTGACGTCTTTGCTGATCTTGGTGTGGTCTCTCAAGGAGGATGACCTAAGCCATGGCTCGATGACCTAAGCCTGGATCTGGATTCCTTGTACTGGTGCCTTAATCACGCCCTGCGTGGTCACCTTTGAGCATGAATCTGACACCGTGAATTTGTCCCAGCATGAGAAATGTTGCTGCATTCACGTCTGGGGATCATGTGTTGCATCCGTCAGGGAGCATATCTGATTACGTTTAATGGAGAGCCCATAAATAATAAATTTTTTGGAAGTGGGCTGTTTGTGAAGAGGCTGGAGCCAGTCCTCGGTGTGTTTTCCCAGGGGTGTCTCTGCTTGGCTTTGTGATGCTTCTGCCGGGGTGTGCCCACACCCCGCGTGGGTGATGCACGCCCCTCGGTGGGTAGATACACGTTTGTTGAGGCAGAGCTCCATCGCTGCTCGTCCCCCTCCTTCCCTGTGCCCCCGTGTGGAAAACACACTGTCAGGTTCAATGTTGCCTTTTCCACCAGCTGGGTGATAACAGGTAAATCTTACAATTGCTCCTTTTCTCCCCGCTCCTTTGCTGTGGATGACTTCTCTCTATTTATAACCTGCTGCATTCGGGAGTTGTTTCCCTGGGCTCTCATGACCTCAGTGATATTTTGACTTTGGGGTACATAAGAAGCAGCATTGTAGGCATCTTGCATGGTCGGGCGTGACTATTGTTGTTGCCAGCTGAACAGTACTTATTTTTTTGGCTGGTTCTTATGTTCTCACCTTTCAGTGGCTGAGAGAAGAGCCCCTTTGGGCTCTCTGTAGCCACTCTCCTGTCTATTTACAGCTGCACACAGCAACCTTGTTTATTAACAAGTTCTTGGAAGTGGAATCCTCTAGAATAGAAATCACGGTGCTGCGGGGGGGGTGTGTGTCCAGAGAAAGGTTTGGTACAAATGCCTTGGCCCATCAGTGCGTTGAGGCGGCATAATTGTCATCTTTGCTGCTCCCCTAGATCTGCTCCAAACAGCATTTTCTCAAATGCCTTTTTTTTCATATAACCCAAACTGTCCATTTCTTTAAAGCTGTCTCATTCAAATGCTTCTTGCATCAAAAAAACCTTATTCCTTTCCCCATTTCCACTGTATCAACTACCACATCAGCACCTTCCTCTGCAATTTTTATTTCCTCCAGAACTGAGTTTTCCTATAAATCTTTTAATTTTCATTACAGGGTGACCAGGATCATCTAGGGAGGTCCTGTAACCGTTTAAACAACTAGTTGGCCGTTGTAGGATGGTGCTGGAAAAGAACATTGGGCTTCAAAACTCTTGCAGACACCTGAAACTGTGCTCAGGGGACTTGCAGGAGAGAAGATGGGAGCAGGGCCCAAAATCCATATTTCTGAGCAATATTCAAACTATCGGTTACTTGATATTTCAGAGTGTGCTTTATAGTTAGTGGATATATTAAAAGTTGCACTATTTTTGAAACCTAATTCTGGTCTTCCTGGGTCTGTGTGGGCGGTGGTGTCTCCTTCACCAGGATCCTTCCTGGAGAACATGTGTGCCATGTTGGTGTTTCCCCCAGGATTGTGAGGTGTCTCGGCTCACCGGGGGGATGGTGGCTGTAGAAATGTGGACATCTGTGTCTAAACCCAACATACAGTGGGCTTTGGGCATCTCGGTGGTACATGCCATCTTAGATGTCCTGGGTTTAGACCTTTACCTTAGTTTTACTTACTTTATATGGATCAATCTATTCTTGAGTAAACCTGGCTCACTGGCAGACCTGCTCTATTATCAATAGCAAACTCTGAGCATCAGCACTTAAGGCTCTGTCTTTGCTGTGGTTTCTAAAACAAGTGGAGGCACTGCCAGTGTCTCTGTGCCATCCTCAGGCATCGCAAACTGATTTAAAGAAAGTGCCTGAGTGTATATTTCTCTTTTTAGGTTTAAACCATCTGTCCTTTGACCCTGCCAGCAGCAGCAAGGCTCTGCAGCTGGGCAGTGCTGCTGGCCCACGGACGGAAAGCCCGGCCGAGAATGGAAACGATTTGGGCAAGAAGAGGAAGAGAACGAACGTCCCTCCAGGTGAGCCCTGGAGCAGCTCGGTGGCTGGCAATAGAGCAGGCAGGCACAGGAATACAGACCCAAACACTGCTGTGCTCTGCAGAGAAAGAGAGAGCAGGTAGTTTGGTGGGATGTGGAAGCAGGCAGCTAAAGGCCTGGTGACCCAGCTGAAGCACTGAAGGAGATTTGGATGCTTAATGAAGCCCCGCATGTGTGCGATGTGAATAGTTCCTCCTGGGTTGGCAGATAACCCTGCTAGACCTGAGGCAGTGTCACTGGTACCTCTGCTGTCAGCAATCACACTGTTCTGTGCTGTGTTATCCCCTTTTGGTGTGGAGGAGAAGTGTCTTTGGCAGTGGAAGTGCACTCTGCCAGAACAGCCTGGCCATCTCTGCTAAATCCAGTGCCGTTACCGCAATTTATACCCGCTGAGTGTTTCCTTTGCTGGAATGGAGCAGCCTGGCCATCTCTGCTAAATCCAGTGCCCTTACGGCAATTTATACCCGCTGAGTGTTTGTCCTTTGTTCCTAAATCTCTTGGGAGGAATCAAAGCGTCCCCTTTACCTTTAATTGTGTTCCTTTAAGGTCTCTTAGAGCTATTGATTGTAGTGGATGAACCATAATTTATTCAGCTGCTCTCAGAAGGCAGTGTTTTTATAGACCTGTAAAATGTTGTCTGCTCGAGAGGGACACAACTGGGGTGGGTGTTTTTCATTTGGCTCTTGCCTGTCTGTGAGGTGTAGACCTGTAAAACGTTGTCTGCTCGAGAGGGACACAGCTGGGGTGGGTGGTTTTCATTTGGCTCTTGCCTGTCTGTGAGGTTCACACCTGGGTTTGGATGCTGATACCACAGAGCCCTGTGGGCAGCGTGTGCCCTGCAGAGCAGTTCAGGCAGGCACTGAGCTCTTGGTCACTTCTTTCCCTCCCAGCAGATGGTGGCCGAAATCTAAGCCTGGAGTCGGTCCCGATGGGCCTGCCGATGTCCGACCCGAGCGCCTGGAGCACTGCCATGAACAACCTGGGCATGGCCCCCATGGGCATGACGGGACAGCCCCTCCTGCCCGGTACGTCTGCTCAGCCAGGCCCTGCTGCCTCCAAACACATCTTTGGGAAAAATCTTTCCACTTGAGTTAGATAAATGCCTACCGCCTACAAAAAGCTGCCTTTGAAATGCGTTAATGTCTCCAAGTGATTCATTTGGAGGCCAGTGCTCTAAAGCTGTTTCCAGAAGAAGAGAGAATAGATGGGTTTAGATGCAACCAATAGTTACTGAGAGGAGCTCTTGATACAGGCATGAGGAGGGTCCCACACAGAGCTCAGGAAAGCAGTGACACCAAGTAAATCATTATTCCAAGCTGAACTGGAGCTGCTTAAAAGAAAGAGTGGGAGGGACCTGAAGAGCAGAGTAGTGGGGCAGTGAAATGGGTATGTCAGGAATGAGTGGAGGTTTCTGCTCCAGCAATGAACACCTCGTGGTCCCAAGCACGTGTGCATGGGTGAGTCCTCCTGTCCAGGAGCTGTTACAGAGCTCCTGAGGAGCAGGGCTATGCTGTACCTGGTTTCTCAGCGCTGCAGAATGCCTGCGCATCAAAATCCTGCAATGAAATGACTGTTTCAGTGTTGTACCGCATTAAGTGCTTGAGGAGGATGCTGTCTCCTGCCTGAATAATTGTGGGCTCACCCGGGGAGGGAGTGTCTGTGTTGGCAGCGCTCTGCGATCCTATTTCTGCTCTCCTGGCACAGAGCAGGCAGTTTGCTGTGCAGCTGGTATTATATTTAACTGAGAGCATCGCTTCACTTGCCGCAAGCTCTGCCTGCAGTCTGTGCTCCCCTGTCCCTGAGGCCTTGGTTCACGTTTGCCCTTGCTCTAGGGGTGGGGTTTTCATGGCATTCTCCTGCTCACATGCTTCGGACAAGTAAAAGTCAATACAAATCTGTCCTAGATACAAACAGGAGTTTGAATCCAGTCTCCCTTTCCTTGCTGTAAGGGTAGGGAAGGGCTTCTGGGTGGTGTTGGTTTTGATCCTTTTGAGATCAGGAGATCTGCACCCGACACAGCTTGGAGGGTTTTGGAAGGAGCAAAATAATTTCTTTTTGATCTGGCTGCGAGAGAGCGGGGGAAGGTTTGGACACTAGATGGAGGTGGTGTCTACAGAGTGGAAAAGGAAGTAGTTTCTTTGAACAGAGAAAACCTATTTGGCTGAGGCAATCGGCAATGAAGCAGTTTCTAAAAAGTTGTTCTCTGGTGCATTCCGTGACAAAATTCCCTCTCTGCTGTTTATCCGGGTAATTTTCACTGCCACGTGAGGGATTGTACTGTTTGCTGTCTGAACAGTTACTGTGTGAGTCCAAACCACTGACTCCCTGCTTCTCTCTCCTGTTTAGATTTTGATCCAGCCCTTGGGATGATGACTGGGATCCCTCCCATCAACCCCATGATGCCCGGCCTGGGGATCGTCCCACCCCCCATCCCCCCGGACATGCCTGCCGCGAAGGAGATCATCCACTGCAAGAGCTGCACTCTCTTCCCACCCAACCCACGTAACTCTCTGTTCATCTTTTCTCCTGTTTCTGGCTATATGGGAATACCTCTGTGTGATCTCTGTTACAGAGCTCCTGAGGAGCAGGGCTATGCTGTACCTGGTTTCTCAGCGCTGCAGAATGCCTGCGCATCAAAATCCTGCAATGAAATGACTGTTTCAGTGTTGTACCGCATTAAGTGCTTGAGGAGGATGCTGTCTCCTGCCTGAATAATTGTGGGCTCACCCGGGGAGGGAGTGTCTGTGTTGGCAGCGCTCTGCGATCCTATTTCTGCTCTCCTGGCACAGAGCAGGCAGTTTGCTGTGCAGCTGGTATTATATTTAACTGAGAGCATCGCTTCACTTGCCGCAAGCTCTGCCTGCAGTCTGTGCTCCCCTGTCCCTGAGGCCTTGGTTCACGTTTGCCCTTGCTCTAGGGGTGGGGTTTTCATGGCATTCTCCTGCTCACATGCTTCGGACAAGTAAAAGTCAATACAAATCTGTCCTAGATACAAACAGGAGTTTGAATCCAGTCTCCCTTTCCTTGCTGTAAGGGTAGGGAAGGGCTTCTGGGTGGTGTTGGTTTTGATCCTTTTGAGATCAGGAGATCTGCACCCGACACAGCTTGGAGGGTTTTGGAAGGAGCAAAATAATTTCTTTTTGATCTGGCTGCGAGAGAGCGGGGGAAGGTTTGGACACTAGATGGAGGTGGTGTCTACAGAGTGGAAAAGGAAGTAGTTTCTTTGAACAGAGAAAACCTATTTGGCTGAGGCAATCGGCAATGAAGCAGTTTCTAAAAAGTTGTTCTCTGGTGCATTCCGTGACAAAATTCCCTCTCTGCTGTTTATCCGGGTAATTTTCACTGCCACGTGAGGGATTGTACTGTTTGCTGTCTGAACAGTTACTGTGTGAGTCCAAACCACTGACTCCCTGCTTCTCTCTCCTGTTTAGATTTTGATCCAGCCCTTGGGATGATGACTGGGATCCCTCCCATCAACCCCATGATGCCCGGCCTGGGGATCGTCCCACCCCCCATCCCCCCGGACATGCCTGCCGCGAAGGAGATCATCCACTGCAAGAGCTGCACTCTCTTCCCACCCAACCCACGTAACTCTCTGTTCATCTTTTCTCCTGTTTCTGGCTATATGGGAATACCTCTGTGTGATCTCTATGTATAAAAAACTTGTATACGAGAGAGGAGCCATTATGTTGCCTGGCCATAATGACTCTGGGGGGGCCACCGTGGACTCGGTGCTGGCCAGCAGGTGATGGAGCAATAGGAAAAGCCTCTTCTTGTCACTCCTTGGAAGGAGCCAGGAAGGCACGGTGGTCTCTCAGGAGAGGTGGGCAGATGAGAGGAATGTGCTGATGAAGCAAAAGCTAACCCGGTCTGCTGTCTCTCTCTGCTCTCTCCAGATCTGCCCCCTCCAGCCACAAGGGAGAGGCCCCCTGGGTGTAAGACGGTGTTTGTGGGGGGGCTGCCGGAGAACGGAACCGAGCAGATCATCATGGAGGTGTTTGAGCAGTGCGGGGAGGTCATAGCTATTCGGAAGAGCAAGAAGAACTTCTGTCACATCCGCTTTGCTGAGGAGTTCATGGTGGACAAGGCCCTTTATCTCTCTGGTAGGTGTGTTCCTGTCTCGGGTGGCAGCTTCAGCTCTGGGACAGAGCCATAACGACTTGTTTGTGGTTACAGTGATAGGCTTTGCAATCGGGAGATTTTTCTGATGTTGTGTCACTTCCCCTTTTTTCTGCTGCTATTGCATTTCTGCTTAAATACGTGAAAGCAGCTCCTGGGAGGAAAGCCAGCAGTGCTTTGTGACCTTGGGTACTGCAAACTGCTGCGAAATACTGGGATGAGGTACAATAAGAGCCTGTCCCTGTCTTACCTGGATAAATGTCCAGCCAATTATGTAGATAATGCTTAAGGGTCTATAAAAACTGGCAGTTGCTCCCAGTTAATTGGATGGTGTGCTTCGCTTCCATCAATATTTTTTCCCTGTTAATCATCAGAACTGAAGCACCTGGGCTCCCCTTGCCTCGGGAGCCCCTGCTCTGTGCCTGTAGGGCTTTAAGAGGTTTGTTTGGTGGAGGACAGAAACCTTCTGGTCGGTGTTTGCAGACTCTGTGACTGGCAGATTGTGTGTTTCCAGCCGAGCCCGTGTTTGCTGTGCTGGTTACATCTGCCCTGAGCAAGCTGGGCTCTCCACCTGAGTCTTTGCCGTTCTAGAAAACACAGTAATACTCTCTATTTCCATGCTAAAATCCCTTCCAAATACGTTCTGTCAGTGTAGTAACAGAGCAGGGTACTGCCTCCAGAGCGCGGAGATGCCGAGATAAACGAGGAACATGCTCTTTGCTGTTTAAAATAATGGAAAACTTTCTGTAGTCTGTTCTGACTGACTGCAGGCATGGTGTCTCACTCCAGAGACTGGTGAATTGAGTTAGACTTGCAACGCCCCCTTGGTAAGAGCTGTGTCTCTTTGTGGTTACCCCTTTATACAGCCAGCAACCTCTTCAGCTGTGGGCGTTCTCCTCTTATAGCTCCTCCTACCTAAACCTGTGGTCATGTGCAGGGTCATTGGTGTCCTCCGCACACGAGTGTTGTTTCTGGGTTTGTTCTTTGTTTGTTCTTCTCCGTAGTTCAGATTTTCTTCCCTGCATCCCAGCTTCGCTTTTCTCAACCACAGAGAAGATCCATTAGCACGTTTGTGCATCCAGAACAGGAGTCCTGCAGATGATGGTGGTGGGGAGAAGAGTTCCCACGTGATGGATGAGCACCTTTGCTGACCTTATCTCCAGTCCCACTGGGTGATGGGGGCTGTTCCAAAGGTTACCACCATCCATCTGCTGTCCTCTTTGCTGTGTCTCACCTCTCACTTCCCCCTTCCCTTCCCCAACTGCTGGAGTTTGTGAAAGTGTGGAAGAACCCGAGGCAGTTCTGCCTTCCCCATGGGAGCTGGGCTTAGTCCCACCAACTGAGAGGTTATGTGTGATTAAATGGTTGGTACTCGAGACACAGGACCTGTTCAGAGGAGGAACAGCCCATGTAAGATCTTACCTGGGATGTGCAAAGCACAGGCAGACAGTAGCACCTCCCCACAATGTTGCCTTTTCCAGCATCACTTTCTGTGCACTGAGCTCTTCTCTCCAGGGCCTTCCTGGCTCTGTAGGAAGGAGGGATGGGCGCTGGTGGGTGGTTGGAACTCGGTGTGTCACCTGTCCCCTCTGACCGCTGCTGTCACCCCCGCCAGGCTATCGCATCAGGCTGGGCTCCAGCACGGACAAGAAGGATACGGGGCGCCTGCACGTGGATTTTGCTCAGGCCCGGGACGACCTGTACGAGTGGGAGTGCAAGCAGCGGATGCTGGCCAGGGAGGAGCGGCACCGCCGGCGGCTGGAGGAGGAGCGCTTCCGCCCGCCCTCCCCCCCGCCTGTCGTCCACTACTCCGACCACGAGTGCAGCGTCGTGGCCGAGAAGCTGAAAGGTCAGAGGTTCTGTGGGCCACGGCCACCCTTCTGCCCCGGGGCTGGGACGGGGACTCGTGTTATCCAGGGGTCACCTTGAGCTGAACTGATGGTGCCATCTAGGCCTTGCAGAGCCCGTTCAGGCTGAGCCCTCGCCCTGCACACAGCAGCTCCTGGCCATCTTGCTTCTGAATTGTTTGACAACAATTCTGAATTGTTTGTCTTTTTGTAAAAACAAACCCGAACTTGAATGATCCCAAGGGTCTCTTCCAACCTAGAGAATTGTTTGTCTTCTCGTGAAAACAAACCCAAACTTGAGTACAACAGTTTCTTCCAAACCATTTTTGTTCATGTTAAAAGATGCTAAGTCCTAAGACTTCCTTTGAAGCCTAAGAATTTTTGTTCATGTTAAAATGAACTAAGTCCTAAGACTTCCTTTGAAGCCTAAGACTGGTGTGTGGCCTGATCACTTTGGAGCTGAAGGGTATTTTCTGTATGAAAGAGCACATCTGAACGGGCGTATGAAGTTTTCCAGTAGGTTTCTAGTAGTTGATCCTCATCTTGTTGCACCTCAACAGCTCATTTGCTCCATCAGCTTGATGTTAGACGTGCCTGCCTTTCTGTAGCCTTGTACTCAGATAATGCTGTGCTTTCAAGAGTTGTGGTGAGCTGCCCGAAGTGAGAGCAGGGCCAGGGGAGGGGTCTGGGAGCTGCGCAGGTGACCCTGGATTTCTGGGGTGTAAAGGTGTCCTTTCCTGCTGCAGATGACACAAAGTTCTTGGAAGCCATCCAGACCTTGCTGACCTGGATCGAGCGGGGAGAAGTGAACAGGAGGACGGCCAACAACTTCTACTCCATGATCCAGTCAGCCAACAGCCACATCCGCCGGCTGGTGAACGAGAAGGCGGCCCACGAGAAGGAGATGGAAGAAGCTAAAGAGAAGTTCAAACTGGCTCTCTCAGGGATTCTGGTGCAGTGTGAGTAGTGTTTCTGCACTGAGTGTTGGTTGTCTCCTGTTGTAGGGAAGAGACTTAATTCCTAGAGTCTGGAGGGACCACACTAAAAGAGCTCCAGGAAGAGAAGCAGCAATTGCTTCTGTGCAGCTGCAGTTAATTGATAAGCACGCAAAAGTCTCGTGTGGTACTTTTTATTAGAGTCCACATCTGGGGGGAGGAGAGAATACATTCTTAAGTTTTTTTCCTCTTTTAATTATAGTCTTATTAGTAGTTCTGTCATCTTTTCACCTCCACTTCTGTGCACAGACAAGGTAAGTCCCTGGGAATCTGGTGCCTCAGCGGAGTGTTCAGGATTTATTCGCCAAAGGTAGGACACAGCAGAGTGTTCCCAGCGCCCTCTTCTCAGTCCTGAAACCTGTAGCAAACCAGCATTTGGAACCTAGGCCTTTCAAATCCCAGTTCTTTATTAAACCATGAAATGAAGGAGAAGAGGCATGGGCTGTATTAGTTCTGAGATGTGATTAGTAACACTTCCTCAAATCATTCATTGCCTCTCACACATCCTTTCTTTAGTAAGTCTGAATTACTTTTTTTTTCTTCTCCACAATTTTACTGTCTCTTGAGCCCCTTGGCTGGGTTGTGAGCATTCTTAACTTCTCGTTTTATATTCAATAATTTTGGCTGTTACTTGTTTGATACTTAATTTTTTATTTATTTATTTTAAAAAATTCTTTTCATGGTAAAAAAAAAACCAAACTATGGGCACACAGTCCAGAGGGAAACACAGTAAGTGCTGCAGAGTAGGTAGTCGTAGGCAGCAGCAAACAGTTCTGCTCTGTAAAACACCCACTGGTATCTCAGCCACCCTTGGGTTAATTGAAGTAGCAGAGAGCTGGGTTCATTTTGTAAGAATTATGTCCATTACAACATGGCAAGCGTAAAAAAAATAAATCAGGTAGATGTGTGTCCTGCTGTTGGGCGAGCTCTCATGCAGGAGAGGCACTTTGTATTTCCAAAAACCTCTGTTTTTTCCAAAACCCTCAAATTTTGTAGAGAACTAGAAGGAGTAGATCCCAGGAACCAAAGAAGCTGCTGGCTGATGGCAGTGTGCTGGGGTCAGCCCCGTCCTTTGGGTGCCGTCCCCGAGTGCCAGCTCTCCCAGTTGTACCTAATGAGCCCGTTTTCGAGAGCCAGCTGTACTCCTGACACTCCCGGGCCACGTTGCACAGCAGATTTGGGTATTTTTGAGAGCAGCCCGTGCCTGCTGTTTCTCCAGCGGGGCGCAGGTGCCGTGTCCCCGGTGACCGTGACCCCGGGAGCATTTGACACCGGCCTGGCCAAGTCCTGCTTTTCTTTCCAGGCCCCACATCCCCTTCCTGAGCGTAGCTGCAGCACAGTACAGTGTAATAAGAAAAGGTTAGCCAAACCACCTGCCTGATTCCACTTTTTTACTCCTTTACTCCTCTTGTTCGCCCTCTCTGGATGATATTCTGGCCTGATTTGACTCCTGATTTGACACCACAGTCGAGCAGATAGTGGCCGTGTACCATTCTGCCTCCAAACAAAAGGCTTGGGACCATTTCACGAAAGCTCAGCGTAAGAACATCAGCGTGTGGTGCAAACAAGCAGAGGTTGGTAATTTTTTATTGTGTTAGATCCTCCAGCACAGTCTCTTTCTTGTCAGGATATTGATGTTAAGTTTGTGTGATGCTCGCGTGGATAACAGCACCTTAATTCACAGTGTCAGATGGGAATTACTCAGTCGGCTCTTGTGTCACAGGTAATCAGTTACAGGTAATTACCTTGTTACAGGTAATCAGTTTTCTGTTGGTATTCATGTTACCAGTAGCAATACATTGAGATCTGTATGCTGATGGAAGTTGTGCACGATAATAATAATTACAGGTCTATTTCGTGCTGGTTCTAATATTAAGAGGGATTTCTAGAGAGATGTTAAAAGCACTCCAACAAACCCGAAGTGTTATCAGAGATCTCTTTTGTCACATCTTTATTGACAGAGTTGAGAGGTGGGAATTATTGCAGCTGGGCAGCCTGGAAAGCCTGAGGATGTTCTCATATTTGTGTATTTGTGCCGTGCAGTGGAATTGCTAGTGAAATACAGGGTGTAAAGGTTGTGCTGAGGATGGGGATGATGGAGGAAGGCATGTCACTCGTGTGATGGGTCTCCTGGGCAGACCTCATCTCAGTTCTGTGTCCCTTCCCTAGAAGGAGGAACAGGAGTATTGTCACACTGGGGTATGAATGGTCTTGGAGGAAAGAAATTGTATTTTTCTTCCTCATTAAGCTTTTAAAGTAGGGTGGAGCTTGAATCAGTTCTTACTACTGGCAATAAAGACTTCTTCAGGGTAGTAGGACCCAGATGTGAAGTGTAGAAAAGAGCTGCTATGAAAAATACCTGCCTTTTACCCTAATCCACAGAGACACTGCTGCATTTGGAAACATTCCTTACTCACTGCAGAAACACTAGGAGTTTGGAGCTGAACTTGTCATTTGTGTGTCAGAAACAAGGCAAAGTTGATGCTTCCTCATCTCAGCGTCACCTCCAAAGGTGCCCAGCCCGGTGGGTTCAGCAAAGCTGTGCTGGGAACATCGACCTGGCCGTGGCTGAGGGATGGAAAGGAGCTGGTGTCTGGCACCGTTGTCTCCGTGTTCCCATGGCAGATGTGTCAACTGCCAGGAGGGTCTTGTCTGCACACACTGCTGATGGGTCAGGTTTGGGTGACAAATCCTGCTCTGCCTGATAGTTTGGGATTTTCATTTTCCTTTGTTTCCGTTCCCGTGATGGGAAAGCAAAGGGTATTGCTTCCAGCTGGAGCTCGTTGCGTGGATTTCCAGAGCCCTGTGTGGCCAGGAGTGAATGAACCCTCTTGAGATGGGGAAGGGGGAAGCACTGAGAGAAGAAGTGTTTGCCTGATGTTGCCCAGTAGCTCTCTGGAAGAGCAGTTTTCTGGCTCCCAGTTGTGGATCCTGGCACATGGCCATCCCCCAGGAGCCTGGGTCTGTCCGTGTGGATTAGGTACAGCTGGAAGTCTGGAGATGCTTCCTGACAGCCCCCAGGGGAAGGCACTGCTGATAGACACGTGTGTTCTGACGTGCTTGGTTACTCCTCGGAAGAAGGGCTCTCAAGTGCAGGCTGCAGAGCAGCAAACAGAGCGAGGCTGGCTCTGAGTGACAGCCTCTTGTTGAGTTCCCCATCGGCACGGTGCTGAAACGCTGTTCAGCTGCTCCTTCTCACATCTCTCCTGTGACATTCAGGGCTCTGTCTCAGAAGCAGAGCCTTGAACTGGAGAGGTTCTACCTGTCATTTGTCCTACCCAAACCCCCGTCCCTCAGGTGTGTGCACTGATTTCTGGTAGGGATCCACAGCTTCTCTGGGCAACCTGGGCCAGGCTCTCGCCACCCTCACAGCAAAGTTCTTCCCCACATCTCATCTCCATCTCCCCTCTTTCAGGGTCAAACCCTTCCCCCTCATCCCATGCCTCCCCTCCCTGATCCAGAGTCCCTCCCCATCTCTCCTGGAGCCCCTTGAGGGACTGGAAGGGGCTCCAAGGCCTCCCCAGAGCCTTCTCTTCTCCAGGCTGAACCCCCCAACTCTCCCAGCCCCCCCTCCCAGCAGAGGGGCTCCAGCCCTCCCAGCATCTCCATGGCCTCCTCTGGCCCCGCTCCAACAGCTCCATGTCCTTCTGCTGTTGGTGGCCCCAGAGCGGGAGGCAGCACTTGGGGGGTCTCCACAGTTGATAAAGAAGCAGATGATTGATCCTCTACAGCGCTGGAAAACTAAATGACTGTGTCTTCCTAGGAAGTTTCCAGCTATGTTCTCCCCATGAGACTGCGCTTCTGGGACTTTCTTCCCAACACTGAGTCAGACCTCATGCAGTAGCTAAAGGATGGGGGGTCTCCACAGTTGATAAAGAAGCAGATGATTGATCCTCTACAGCGCTGGAAAACTAAATGACTGTGTCTTCCTAGGAAGTTTCCAGCTATGTTCTCCCCATGAGACTGCGCTTCTGGGACTTTCTTCCCAAATCTCACTGAGTCAGACCTCATGCAGTAGCTAGCAGAGGAGCCAAGGTTTCCTCTCATACCTGGTGAGCCAGGTGGAGAGGCTGATTCCCATTATGCCTCCACTTAGAGCCCTGGTGCTCCTCTTCTTTTCTGCTTACTGAGATTGCCTTCTGTGCCTGGGGTGGGAGCGCTGTCTCCATTTGGAGCTGTCTTTGGTTCCAAGGTAAGTTCTCCTGGTGGGAAGAGGCAGTGAGACCAGTGGTGAGGCCTCTTCCAGGAGTGCCTGCTGCTGGGCTCCCCCAGCTTAGGGTCTTCTCTTAAAGGAAGATGGACCCACAAGATGCATCTTCTTCGTATGGCTTTTGGCAGAATTTAATCCTGTGGGTCCTGGCATCAGAGGACAGCCTTGGCAGGCAGCTCAGGGAGCAGGGATGTGGTGGTGGAGTTGTTAGAATAGGCTAGGGGTTTATTTTATCAGCGGTGACATAGGGGGTTTTCCCAGGTGGTGCTGGCAGGTCCTGTATTAGGAGGCAGCTCATTGAGAAGCCATGGAAGCTTGGGAGCTGGTGAGCCACCATGCTATGGGGGCTTGCAGCCAGCACATTCCCTTGCTTAGGAAGGACCTCACTCAAGCGTTTGGCTTCTCTGATGCTTTTTCCTGTCCCATCCAGCGCTGCCCTTGGGTGCAGTCAGGGCTCTGGTGAGCCGTGGCATGGGCAAGCCTGGGCTCGTGCTCTGCTCTGTGCAGCCATCCCCAGCTTTGAGGCCACTTTAGCTGTCGAGCAGAGTCAGTTAAAGATAGTGGGAAGATGTTCCTCTGATCTCCCACCCAGCTGCCACGTTGGGTGGTCTCCAGGGTGGGCAGGAGTTGCTTTAGAAGTGTAGCCAGCACTGCCCATCGCGCTCGGGTCTGCCTCATTCTTGCCATTTCCCCATTGCTGTGCCCAAGGTTCATCCCAGCTGAAACGTGGTCGTTATCCCTGTTGCCTGCTCTTGGTGGACACGTGCTGGGTGCTGGCGAGCAGAGCTTTTGAAAGCTTCAGGCCGTGAGAGTAAAATCTACAAAGAGCTGGAGGTTAACTTTATTGCATAAACAGATCTTCTGTATCTTTTCTCCTGTGGCTGTTGCTGGGGTGTGTGATCCTGGTGAAGCTGTGGTCAGTGGTCACTGGGTAGGGACACTCGGCCGCCTGTGCCAGCCTCTAGTAAGTATTTGTGGCATCTCCATCTCTGTGGGTAACTGACTGGCATTTCCAAATGTTGCTTGTCCTGCTCTGCAGAGGGGCTGGAGAGGCTGAGCGAGGTGTCTCCTTGCCTTGTAGATAAGGTGGTGTGTGTCCATCCAGAGCTCTGCCTCCAGAGCAGAGGATGAAGCATGGGAGGATTTGGGGGAGCTTGGGCAGCTCTGCTTGGCCAAGGTGAATGGGGCAGAAAGGACACATGCAGGCAGGAGCTGGGGTGGCTCAGGGAGGTAGCATCTCTGCTCCTTTCTCATCCCTGATGTGGAACAAGGGTGGGACAGTAGAGAGGATCCCAGCGTCCAGTGGGAGAGTCACTGGTGGAGGCTGAGCACAGGGGGAGAGAACCTTGGGGTGCACCAGCATTGATGAGGGTCAGGAGGCGCTGGGCCAGCTCTGGCCTCATCTGTGCTTGCAATTCCTGTTTCCAACTGGTGTGACCTGGCTCAGGTAGGTTTTGGTGGTGCAGGAGGCAGGGAGGAATGTGGTGGGCAGCTCTGTGGGTCAGGGCCATGCTGCAGTGGGGCAGAGGGGTGCATGGCGAGGTGGTACCGCGCAGCGTGTAGGCCAGGGCTTGGAAGGTGTGGGAGAAGGAAACACCAGGGAGATGGGTCATGAGCCACTGGGCTACCTGTGACGGGGGGGACATCACTGGTGGAGGTGCTGTCACGGGTGAATTAAGAGAAGTCATCGTTGTGGGGTTAACAAAAAGGTTATTATTGATGTTTAAGCAATGATGAAATGATTAATCAATGATTGAATGATAATTAAATGGTAATCAAATGGTGGTTAAGCAGTAATTGAATGGTAATTAAAAGGTGACTTGACAGTGATTAGGCAGCAGTCAAACACTCGGCTACTTACTATGCTTCTAGTAATTAAGCTATAGCTGGAGATATATATATAAAAATGTTACTAGAATAAAATAAACTTTTAGGCCTTATGTAAATGTCAGTTACCTCGTTACAGATATCAGATGGGGGAAAGGGGCCTCTCAGCCCAGGGGAGGCTCTGGGGCTGGGCAGCTCTGGGTGCAGGAGAGGTGTGTGGACATCAAGCGGGGCAGATGCGGGGAGAGGGATCACTGAGGAACTGTGCTGCAGGAAAGGGGATGTGCCTGCCCTGGGCAAGGAGCAGAGAGGAGATGGATGAGTCTGTAATATCAGCAGCACTGACAGGTAGATCTTCTCCCTGATCTAATAGTTTGTGCCAATGTCTTGAGTCTGTAATACCAGCAGCACTGACAGATTGACTTACAGTAGATCTTGTCCCTGATCTAATAGTTTGTGCCAATGTCTTTATATCATTTCCCCTGTCTTGTGCCATAGAGTTGGATTTTGCAGACCTAGGTTTCATCATCTTTTTATCCAACCAGTCTGTTCCTCATAATCTGTGTTTAAAAAACCCGCTCTACTTTCTGAACCTTAGGAAATTCGTAACATTCATAATGATGAACTAATGGGTATTCGAAGAGAGGAGGAAATGGAAATGTCGGATGAAGAAATAGAAGATCCATCAGAGATGAAAGAAACAGAAGAATCAGGTAAAGAACCTGTGTTTGTTACTGAGAGGGGCTCTTTGTCCAGAGGAGCTTGTTTTCTAAAGAGACATCGCAGACAGTGGTTGGGAGAAATTCATTTTGGTACTCTTGGTTTGTACTGGGTGCTGGGGGAGAGCCCCAGGGACTGCTTGTCCCCAGTTCTTTGTCTTTTGACCCCTGCCCGCCCTGTTCTCCAGCGCTGGTGTCACAGGTGGAAGCCCTGAAGGAAGAAAACGACAGTCTGCGCTGGCAGCTGGACGCCTACCGCAACGAGGTGGAGCTGCTCAAGCAGGAGCAAGGCAAAGCCAGCAGGGACGAGGACACCACCAAGGAGCAGCAGATGAAGCTTCTCCAGCAGGCTCTGCAGGGCATGCAGAAGGTGGGCCTGGGCTTTTCGATAGCCATGGCCTTGCTGTGAGGGCCAAGGGGCTGTGATGTGGAGCTGAAACACAAGCAGAAGCATCTGGGTTTCAGTGGCATCAAAACTGGCAAATGGGAGCAGCTTTCTGTCGTTTCCAGTTGCCAAAAAAACCCAAACAAGCAAACACTCAAAGCAGTGACTGTGTATGAACTGATCAGTGACACAGAAACAATCCCTAGTTTATGGGTTCCTTGTGTGTTCTTTGTGGGACTCCTGAAGCGCTGGCTCTGTGCTTACCTGTCGTCTGGCGCTCAGCACGTGCGTTATTGCAGGGACAGGGGAGGTTTGGTGGTGATGGGATCACTGCCCCCTCTTTACGAAGTCCTGCTGGTTTTGTGTGCTGATGGGCAAAGACATTGCTAAGGTACACTCTGGAAAAGACTTCTTCTTGTTTACTTAACCTTGTAATTGTTCTGAGCACAGTCTGTCTGCTCTTGATGGAAACGCTCTTACTCATTTTATATTCTCTGAACAGCAGGAGGTGCAAGGCAGGTTAGGAACTGAGCTTATCTTCTCTCTTCCAGCATCTTTTGAAAGTACAAGAAGAATACAAAAAGAGAGAAGCTGAGCTAGAAAAAGTGAAAGAAGACAAACTGAAAATAGAAGCATTATTGGAAAACCTGAAGGAGCAGGTATGTGCCATCCCAGTGCTTCCTTGTTCTCAGCAGTAGGTCAGTCCTTGGACTTCCTGGTGCATCCTGAGCACAGCGAGGGACCTCTGTCCTCCTGCACCCTTGGAGGATGTGTATCAGTGATGACCTTGTGATTCTTCCTGCACCAGTGATACCATCTGCATAAGCAACTGTATAAATAAAAGATTAACTTTCATTTTATAGTATACAGTGGTATTGCAGCTCAAATGTGCTTTTCTGCAACCTGAGCTTTAAAAGAAGGGTCTCAAACACTAAACGAAGTTGTCAAACACTGATTTTTAGTTTTGCATTTTGGGACCATGTTGGGATCTGACCTCCATAAAAAACTATTGAATGTAAAGATTTTATCAGTGTTATAATATTCTTATACTTGCTGGATTTATTCTAAACGTAATTACAAACTGTTTCTTAGCTGTGACTCACTCTCTTTTGACCATGGACCCACGCAGGAATCTCTTGGTCCTGTCCCCTCTAGCTCAGACACAGTTATCCAGGGCAGACAGCAGACACTGCGCAGCGTCTCTCACTGCCAAGCGCTAGCTCTTGTCTCAGATTGTCAGTCTTCAGCCCCACTTCTTCATGCCATGAGCTAGGGAAGATAATAAATATCTTTTCAGTGACTAAAAAGGGCTTTGTATCCCAGTAAGCTTCCGTGCAGGAGTTTCAGTGCCTGATTTGAACAGAAATACCAGGCTCTCATCAGTGATCTCTGTGTCTTTACCTGTAGCAAAGCACAGCAGATGAAGAGGACAAGGAGAGAGACGCAATTGATTGTCAGGGGAACGTAAGTCTAAGAGTTTCTTTTCTGCTACTCAGAATATCTTACTGAGGGGAGTAAAGACCTCATTGTAGAAGGAGCAATGTTTAAAGTTTGGTTTGTTGTGAGGAGTGGAAGCGTGGTACGTACAGACTCCCTTTGTGTGCAAATTAAGACAAATCGAGTTACCCATTGCTCGCAGTGTCTGGCTGGAGGAACAGCAGGTATTCACAGCACTGTGCTGTAGGAATGGGGCTTGGTGTGCGAGAGAATTTCTTGCACCATTATTTCAACTATCCCTCAAAAATACCTGTGGGGTCTCCCAGAGGAGGCAGCGGGTGCGTTTCCAGTACAGCCTCAGGGCTGAGCTGCAGTCCCTGCCCAAGCTCAGTTCCACACTCCACTCCATCACTTTCTCCTGGAGAAGTAAATTCCAGCCTTCCTGGGCCGGGACTGCTTGGATTTGGGCTGTAGCTGAGAATTTCACTGACACAAGAAGCCAAGCAAACCCAAGGGACCGTTTATTTGTGTCTTTGTTATTGGCCCGAGTCCAGTCATTTCACTGGTGACTGGAGGCTATTTCCAGTTACAGCACTCTGTAGCTCCCAGACCACTGGAATTCCCCATGAGACTTGGGAATAAAGGAAAGTCCTGCTTTTTAGTGTACCCAGCAAGCCTTTGCATCGCTGGCAGCCTTGTGTTTATTTTGGGGATGATAAATTATGCAAAATTCTGTTTTAATTCAGTACCACAAACTCAAGTCAAGGACAGTCTGATCCTAAACTCTCTGCAGCCATTGGGCACCCGGTTAATCGTGCTGCCTCGGTTTAGGCATCTGAAAAATAAACTCATCTGAATTAGTCACTGTGAGGCTTGCTTTCTGGTCTGGTTTTCCTTTTATTATTTAAAATAAGGCCCTTCTAGAGCAGATGTTGTAGCAGTGAGCAGGGCTGAGACAGCCTGAGTGACGGCGTCTTGCTTAACTTCCTGGGCTCTTAATCTAAATTGCTAATTCAGACACAGCTTCCTGAATGTAGCTGTGCTTGCTTGGTGAAATAAATAATAGCAGATACTGCAACGTGGTGAGTGCAGTGACTTACAGAGGGGGGAAACAAAAGTGCAGCCTCTGTGAGTGTAAGGGAGCTGCTGGGGGTGCAGGGTGGTGGTTGTGCTGCTGGGGGGTGCAGGATGCTGTCTGAGCTGTTGGGGTGTAACGGGCCCGCGGGGTTTTGCAGGAGAGTGGTTCATCCAGAGTCTGTGCCTGCAGCCAGGAGAAGGAGGGGCCGGTGGAGAAGACAGCGAGCAGTAGCCCTGTGAAATCCGAACGGGAAGTGCTGTTGGTTGGTAAGTTCTTTTGAAGGGCTCGGTGATGGTGCTGGAGACCTGATCTGAGTGGGACTTGCTTCAAGGTGGCCTCATGACTCCCACTGGCCACCACTTGTTCCTTTGGTTATGCCAGTGGGAGTCCTGGAACCAAGGAAGCCTTGGGCTTTGGTGGGGTCAGGGTGGGCCAGAAGAAGCTGTAGCCAGAGAGGAAGGAAGGCAGGGAGAGAAGGGATGAGAAATATTGTGAGTACTTTCACATGATGCTCACAAAGGGGTTGGTGACCTCTGGTTGACAGCCCAAGTGTAGCTGCTTCCTTTTTTATTTCCTTTCTCCTTGCCTGTTCCTAGTAATACTGAAAAATAACCCCACACGGCAACCCCACATCTCTGAAGCACTGGGTATTTGGGGATTTTCTGGAGCACTGAAGGGGAGGAACAGAGGTCCTTGTCTTGCTGGGACAAGGCGTTTTCTTTAGTGCATTGTCACTCAGCCGAGCTCTCCTTAGCCATCCCCCTACACCTGGTTTGGGAATAGGAATAAATCCTTCATTGTTATCCTGATGGACTTGTTTGGGCCAGACCCTGGGCTGGTTTCTGCATTGGGAGGGAAGGAGCTTTGGGGAAAACCACTCTCTTTCTGCAAGCAATGCTCAGAAATGCAGGTCAGTCTCTTTGATACACAGTCCTGGCCATGGGCTGGAAGGGAGTCCCTTGGGGACAGGGTGCAAACTCGGGTTGCTGAGTGCTGTGGGACTGTTGGGAGGGACACGTGTGCCACTGTTGCTCTCTTCTGTCCTTTCCTGCTCCCTGACCCTTGGTGCCATGGCTGGAGGAGGGCTCTGTGTCCCTCTCCTGGGGCATTGTATCCCCACCTGTGCCATGATCTCCCTGCATTTAGAACTGAGGCCGCCTGATCAGAGCCCTCTGTGCCCACAGTGCCAGAGCTGCTGTTCCCAGCTGGCTCTTCTCTCCCAGGAATAACATTTGTGGCATTCCTTTTCCCAGGAATAATTTCCACCTTTCTTCACGTGCACCCATTTGGAGCCAGCATAGAGTACATCTGTTCCTACCTCCAGCGCCTCGACAGCAAGGTAAGTGCACCAGTGCTCCCAGTGAGTACACAGCACTCCCAGTTCTCTGGGTGCTGGGTGTGTGCTGGGCCCGTGGGGCTGGGGGAGAGCTTTGCCCCCTCCCTGGGGACGGTGGGGGGACGGACAGTGAGAACTGGTGTGTATTCACTGGAATCATTTGCTGGGAGAGTCCTAAATGGAATTAAAGCTGACCTGACTGCAGAAGTTCATGTCTAATCCTGCTCCTGATTCAAGAAGACCCTTTGACAGTAGCTGTTTTTAGCAGTAGCAGAGAATTCCATCTTTAACATCACCATCTAAAATGCATTTTTTGTTTATTCTGTTTAAGTTTGCTGTCATGGTTTCCCGTAACCTCATGACCTCTAAGGAAAAGAGCAAACAGCCTGCCTCTTGCACACTGTTTATTATCTTATAACGTCTGCCTGTTTGTGTACATTCTCTCTGAACTGAGCAGTCCCCTCGGTTTTATGTCTCTGAGCAATGTTTTCCCATATTTCTGGTCTCGCAGCCCTGCACTGAGCCTTTTCTGTCCCTCTTTTGATGCTGTCAGTGAAATCATGTTTGGGAGGGTGCTGGGCAAGGCTCTCCCGATCCCGAAGCATCGGCACTGGGTCGCAGCCCCTGCTCACGGGGTCTGTGCTAAGTGGAGGGATGAGTCTGGGGCCTGAGGGTCAAGAGGGACAGTGCTGGGAGCAGCCTCACGCTGCCTCAGGGCAGCAGGCGTCTGCTCTTCCAGCAGATCTGCCCACCGGAGAGATTTAGGCTTTATTTTCTGCAGCGGCGTAACCCCCGGATGCTGTCTGTCAGCCCCCGTGCCGCCAGGGAGGCGGGAGCTGCTCTGTGGGTGGGTGCCTGGGACTCCTTGGAATGGGAATATAAATTCCCCATGTCCCTAATTTCTGTAGCCAGTACCAGAGCTCTGTTATGGCAGCAGTGAAAATGCTTGCTGTTTCTTCAGTTACTTAAATGCTGGGGAGTTTTTAATCCGTTATTTTGCATTTCACAGCGGAAAGACCCAGGACAGTCCTTTTACCCTTATTTCTGGTGTTTGTTATATCTGAGCCGTCTCATCCAACAACAGCACAGCTCCCGCTGTCCCGAGGGTATTACCAGGGCTATGGGGACAGGGAGCCTGGGGACAGCCTGGGTGTGCTTTAGCCATTAGGTGTGTTTAAGCTTGAATATCGCTTCCGAAACCCTTCATTTTCAGTGATGCTTTCCTTCCCTTTCCACAGATCTGCACGGCGGAGGTGGAAATTCTCATGACTCGTCTCCAGAACACGTTCAGGCAGGAGCTGAGCGGGGTTGGGGCCAGCCTGGAGAAAAGGTGGAAGTTTTGTGGCTTTGATGGACTGAAAATGACTTGAGCTTCGACTTGAGGCTGTTCTCAGTGGGATTCTGTACAACGTGCGCCAGGAAAACCTGGGCAGGCTGGGGTTCCCTCTGCAGTGTCAATACCTTGCACGCGTCAGGGACTCGGGTGGGGTGATGTGTCAGTGAAACTCTAAGTCCAGACCAGCACAGGAGGGAACTTCAAGTTCTGTAGCTTCTTTGATCAGTTATTTGTTAACGGGCACGTGCTGTTCAATATATTTTGTGAAAAAAGTTCGCGTCTGATATTTTTAAGCACAGCGTGTTACGTTTTGCCAATGTTGTATGTGTTTTGTGTGCCCAAACCCTCTCATCCTGTACCCTCTTTTTACTGGTAGAACAGCCATGGACTGTCCTCTGAGGCAACAACAAAGAGGCATTTTCTGGTTTCTAGAACCACCAAAAGGAGAGGAAAAAAAAAAGGGCATTTTTTAGACATTTCTATGATTAAAAACTGGGCTATGTTTAAAGAGAAGATTTAGATGTCTGAGTTCTCTGAGCCAAACAGTTGGGTCTTTTTCATGCTATTTTCTCTACTAACAGTTGGGCTGAGATGAAGCAGCATCTCTAGAAGCTGAGTGTGATTCTGGCCGTGCCCCTGGTGATCTGTGCTTCGTGGGGTTGGTCTGGAAATAATTGTTTTACATGGGAAGGTATTGGATTTCCTGTTGCTCTGTGTGGAGCAGAGGGCAGGCACCAGGGCTCTGGCTCAGTAGGGGCTTCCCACCAAATGTCTCCCCCTGCTTTGCTTTGGAAACAGAGCCTCTGGAAGTGCTACGAGCAGTGCAGATGTTTCTCCTCCTGAGGCTGTTCCTCGTGTCCTCAGGCTCCTCCCCAGCCCTCTGCAGAAGGGTGGGAGGATGGAGGGTTAAAACACCTCAGCCCATCCACCCATCCTGGCCTGGTCCTTCTGCAGAGCCTTCCTGCCCTCCGGCAGATCTGCACTCCCACCCAGCTCAGTGTCCTCTGCAAACTGACTGAGGGTCAAGGATCCTCCAGATCCTTGATAAAGATGTTAAACAGAACTGGCCCTAACACTGAGCCCTGGGGACACCACTTGTGACCAGTGCCCACCTGGATCATGAAGCTCTAGACAGTCAACACCCCCGATGTCCAGGGCCACCCACCCACCAATAGTCACTGCTCCAATGCCTTTCTAGCACTTCTGCGTTTCGTTGCAGCCCACCAGCTTGTCATGACAGCAGCTCCACCACAGTTTCCCAGCTCCATCACGGTTTCCCAGCTCCTCCTGGCTGTAGCCCACGCTGCGTGTCTTGGTGTAGATGCACCTTAGTTTGGCTGTTGATCCCACCACCTTTTTTTGGGAGAGAATCCCTAATTCCTATGTGACTGTTCTGAGGCGCTTCCGTGGTTTCTCACACATCAGCCACCCTCGTGTTGTTGCTGCTGCATAGATCTCCATCCCTCACCCACCGAGATGGCAGATGGAAGCCCTCACTACCACACATCCCTCAAACAGTGATGTGCTGCCCCTGGGCTTATCTCTGCCCGGCTGGTTTCATTCCTTTCCCCCTCCAAATCTAGTTGAAAGCTCTTTCAACGAGCCCTGCTCCTTCTGCCCCTGGAGACAGGCGAACCCCTCTGTCTCTAGCAGCTCTGGTGGTGTGGAAACCAGCCCTTGATCAAAAAAACCCCAAAATTCTGCCAGTGGCCCCAGGCCTGGAGCCAGGTACTGACCTGCTGGCTCGTCCTGCTCCTCCACTCATCCTGCAGCTGGAGGGATGGGACAGGACAGGGCTTGTGCTCCTGCTCCTTTAACCAGTGTGTCCCTGGGCCCTGAAGTTGCTCCTTATTGCCCTTGGCCGCCGTATTGCACCTTCTTTCCTGCCAAGTTGAAAAATCAGTAATGGACAATGATCCGAGGGCACTGCCAGAGTGGGAAGCTCTTCTCCTCACACCTTGAACCCCAGGGAGGGGTCTGGTTGTCACCTGGGGACTTCTGTTCCTCCAGCAATGACCCCTTATTTTTTCTTTATGGAAATGGTTTTGACACAGGGCATTGGGTGATTTAACCTCGACACCTCCAAGCTGGTTGCACCATTGTCCCCGTCCTCCTGTGTCCCACCTGCAGAGGGAATGGGGTGGTCTCGGAGGAGATGTGCCTGACGCCCAGGTCTCACTGTGCTGGGAGCAGATGGAAGCCCTGCTACAGAAACGTGCTGGGGAGGTGTGTCGCTGCCGGCCAACGCTGTATTTTTAAGGAATAAACAGTTTTTATGGGCAAATCTGCTGCTTGCTTTTCCTCGCCTACTTTTTGTTGGCTGCTCCATCCCACGTCCTCTGCCAACGCGGGGCTTCGCTGTCCTCTTAGTACATTTCCAAAGCTCACAAATATCTGCCTGGCAAGTGATCGGTGGGAAACGGCCACGAAACGTTCCCTGCTTCCTCTCCGGCCTCTTTAGATGTTCTACTCAACCACAGTAAGTTCAGAGGCTGTGACCTCCTCCTTTCTCCAGAGCAGATGGAGTTGGCTGATGATGGCTGAGTTTGGGGTGTTGCCTGCCGTGGGGGTCACCGTATACGTGTGAGTCTCTGTGGGGTCTGCAGTCCAACATGTAGAAGGTGCTGCCTGTCCCTCTGTCCCGTCAGGTCAGTGAGCTCCTCACACCAGAGCTTTGCAGGGCACCCTGTGGTCCCTCAGACCCGTCGTGGCTGTGGAGGGCAACCATGTTCCTGGCCCAGCCTGCCTGTTCTGGCCGTGCTGGAGACGTGGTCGTTGGGAAGACGCTCTGATGGAGCAGGGCAGAGCTCTGGGTGAGATGACCACGGTGAAAACCACCCGCTGATCCCCATCGACCAGCACTCGGTGGTGAATTTCCCTTTTGGGTTTCACCTGCTGGGAGAGCTGATGCTTTGGTGGGTGTCCCTGTCACCCAGGAGCTGGGGGACAGCGGGGATGGATTGGGCAACGCTCCGTCCCCTCCGAGGACAGGCGCTGTCAGCGTGGGAAGGGCCGTCCTGTCCCGTCCCATCTGACCCTGCCCTCTCCCTCCACGCGATGTCTCTGGCTCTCATTCCTTTTGGCAGAAAATGCGTGTTCTCGTCCCCCCTCTCCTCCCCTCGGCCGCGGCGCCTCCTCTCCCTCACTGCTCTGCTGCTGCTCCTCCCGCTGCAGCGAAGGGTCTCCTGTGGGGCTGCTCCAGAGGCGGCGGAGACACGGCCTGGGAAACCATCATCCCCCGGGAAGAGAAGGGACCCCGTCCCGCTGCTCCAGAGGGAACCCACAAGGTAAACACCAGCCCTTGGCTCCAGCTGGGAAATGGGTGGCTTTGGGGCTGAGAATGGGGCAGCAGCTGCTGCTCCTTGGGGATAGAAGGGGCAGAGCTGAGCTCTTCCTGGGAGGTTCCCTTAAATAAGCCCTCGTCCTAAAAGCAAGCAGGGAGAGTCATGGCAGAGGGGAAGCGCCGCGTTAATGCCCCTGGCCAAAGGCATCTCATTTCTGGTTTTGGGTGAGTGAGGGTCCTCCTGTGGTGTCCCCCTCTGCATGGTTTGCAGAGCTCTGGCTGCTGCCCCCCTGCCTCGTGCCCCATTTTCCTCCCTGTGGGGTCCCCGGTGCCCGTCGTGGCTGGAGCGGGTTCTCCGGGGCTCCGTGGGGCATCTCCGGGCTTGGGGCTGGGACGCCCTCCCAGCTCCTGTGCCACCAGCCAGGCTGTGAAGTTGTCCGTGGTGGTCCCCATCTGGCTTGCTCCTGGGAGCTCGTTCCAAGAATTAAGGACAGTTTTTTGGGGGTTAAGGCTTGAAGCAAGTGGCCCCAGGCCTGGAGCCAGGTACTGACCTGCTGGCTCGTCCTGCTCCTCCACTCATCCTGCAGCTGGAGGGATGGGACAGGACAGGGCTTGTGCTCCTGCTCCTTTAACCAGTGTGTCCCTGGGCCCTGAAGTTGCTCCTTATTGCCCTTGGCCGCCGTATTGCACCTTCTTTCCTGCCAAGTTGAAAAATCAGTAATGGACAATGATCTGAGGGCACTGCCAGAGTGGGAAGCTCTTCTCCTCACACCTTGAACCCCAGGGAGGGGTCTGGTTGTCACCTGGGGACTTCTGTTCCTCCAGCAATGACCCCTTATTTTTTCTTTATGGAAATGGTTTTGACACAGGGCATTGGGTGATTTAACCTCGACACCTCCAAGCTGGTTGCACCATTGTCCCCGTCCTCCTGTGTCCCACCTGCAGAGGGAATGGGGTGGTCTCGGAGGAGATGTGCCTGACGCCCAGGTCTCACTGTGCTGGGAGCAGATGGAAGCCCTGCTACAGAAACGTGCTGGGGAGGTGTGTCGCTGCCGGCCAACGCTGTATTTTTAAGGAATAAACAGTTTTTATGGGCAAATCTGCTGCTTGCTTTTCCTCGCCTACTTTTTGTTGGCTGCTCCATCCCACGTCCTCTGCCAACGCGGGGCTTCGCTGTCCTCTTAGTACATTTCCAAAGCTCACAAATATCTGCCTGGCAAGTGATCGGTGGGAAACGGCCACGAAACGTTCCCTGCTTCCTCTCCGGCCTCTTTAGATGTTCTACTCAACCACAGTAAGTTCAGAGGCTGTGACCTCCTCCTTTCTCCAGAGCAGATGGAGTTGGCTGATGATGGCTGAGTTTGGGGTGTTGCCTGCCGTGGGGGTCACCGTATACGTGTGAGTCTCTGTGGGGTCTGCAGTCCAACATGTAGAAGGTGCTGCCTGTCCCTCTGTCCCGTCAGGTCAGTGAGCTCCTCACACCAGAGCTTTGCAGGGCACCCTGTGGTCCCTCAGACCCGTCGTGGCTGTGGAGGGCAACCATGTTCCTGGCCCAGCCTGCCTGTTCTGGCCGTGCTGGAGACGTGGTCGTTGGGAAGACGCTCTGATGGAGCAGGGCAGAGCTCTGGGTGAGATGACCACGGTGAAAACCACCCGCTGATCCCCATCGACCAGCACTCGGTGGTGAATTTCCCTTTTGGGTTTCACCTGCCGGGAGAGCTGATGCTTTGGTGGGTGTCCCTGTCACCCAGGAGCTGGGGGACAGCGGGGATGGATTGGGCAACGCTCCGTCCCCTCCGAGGACAGGCGCTGTCAGCGTGGGAAGGGCCGTCCTGTCCCGTCCCATCTGACCCTGCCCTCTCCCTCCACGCGATGTCTCTGGCTCTCATTCCTTTTGGCAGAAAATGCGTGTTCTCGTCCCCCCTCTCCTCCCCTCGGCCGCGGCGCCTCCTCTCCCTCACTGCTCTGCTGCTGCTCCTCCCGCTGCAGCGAAGGGTCTCCTGTGGGGCTGCTCCAGAGGCGGCGGAGACACGGCCTGGGAAACCATCATCCCCCGGGAAGAGAAGGGACCCCGTCCCGCTGCTCCAGAGGGAACCCACAAGGTAAACACCAGCCCTTGGCTCCAGCTGGGAAATGGGTGGCTTTGGGGCTGAGAATGGGGCAGCAGCTGCTGCTCCTTGGGGATAGAAGGGGCAGAGCTGAGCTCTTCCTGGGAGGTTCCCTTAAATAAGCCCTCGTCCTAAAAACAAGCAGGGAGAGTCACGGCAGAGAGGAAGCGCCGCGTTAATGCTCCCAGCCAAAGGCATCTCATTTCTGGTTTTGGGTGAGTGAGGGTCCTCCTGCGGCGTCCCCCTCTGCAGGGTTTGCAGAGCTCTGGCTGATGCCCCTGCTGTGTCGTGCCCCGTTTTCCTCCCTGTGGGGACCCCCGGTGCCCGTCCTGCCTGGAGCGGGTTCTCCGGGACTCCGCGGGGCATCTCCGGGCTTGGGGCTGGGACGCCCTCCCAGCTCCTGTGCCACCAGCCAGGCTGTGAAGTTGTCCGTGGTGGTCCCCATCTGGCTTGCTCCTGGGAGCTCATTCCAAGAATTAAGGACAGTTTTTTGGGGGTTAAGGCTTGAAGCAAGAGTTTGTTGGAAAGGGAGTGATCGTGGAATCTTATGGGGCTCTTCTCATGGCTCCGGGGGCCAGATAAGCAGCCGCTTCCCCTGACATCTCCTTCCTGCTCTCCCTCCTTGCTCCCTCTCCCCGGGGGGGGTTCCTCCTCCCAGCCCTGAGGCAGCAGCATCCTTGGTGTTTCTGCTCCCACCATCCCTGTCCCTCCCACTCTGCCCAGAGCCACCAGCTTTGTCCACAGAAAGGTAATTTCCATCAGTGTGTCTGTCCTGGGGCTGTCTGTCCATCCCTGGAGCTGCTCCCGTCCTGCCCAGAGGCTCCTGCTCCGGTGCCACTTCTGCTCGTCCCGTGTTTCTGGGGTGGGAGAAACACGGGAGCTGTTGCTGGGGGGCCAGGGGGGTTCTTGCCTCTCCAATATTTCATCCGTGCCCCCTTCTCCCATCCAGGCTGCCCTGGGAGAGCTGGGGGGGTTCAGCCTGGAGAAGAGAAGGCTCTGGGGAGACCTTAGAGCCCCTTCCAGTCCCTAAAGGGGCTCCAGGGAAGCTGGGGAGGGACTTTTTACAAGGGCTTGTAGTGATAGGACAACAGGTAATGGCTTCAGACTGAGAGGGGAGATTCAGGTCAAATATTAGGAAGAACTTCTTTGCTGTGAGGGTGGTGAGAGCCTGGCCCAGGTTGCCCAGAGAAGCTGTGGCTGCCCCATCCCTGGAGGGGTTCAAGGCCAGGTTGGAGGGGGCTTGGAGCAACCTGGTCTGGTGGGAGGTGTCCCTGCCCAGGGCAGGGGGTGCCACTGGGGGGGCTTTAAGGTTCCTTCCCTTCAGCTGAATTTCTTTGTCTTTAGCTGAATTCCCTTTTTGGCATGCTCTTCTGGGGAGTTCACAACAACTCTCCGGTATTTATTTATTTATTAAATTTATGTAACTTTCTAAATATCTTTAGAAACTGAAAAGCTGGCCAAAAGAAATGCCACAGAGACAGCAGCCCCCCCGGCCCAGGGGATGGAGATGGGCAGCCCCTGCCCAACCAAGAGCCTCGTCACCACCCCCCGGGGCTGTTCTCACTCCTCATCGAGGAGGTTTCCAGGCATTTATTGTTCATTATTGCCTGAAATCCCTGTGTGGGCAGGCCCCGCTCCCATCCTGTCCTCTGGCAGCCTCTCTTCTGGGTAACCTTGGTCCTTTTCTCCCGTTTATGGCTGCTGGTTGCCCTTTGGCCCGTGCCCGGGTTCCCCGGGTGCCGGGTGGCAGCTCCCAGGTGAGTGCGGGGCCAGGAGCCGGGGGCCGGTGGGGGTCCCTCCCCGGGAGCTGCGAACGGTGGGGAGAGACCCCCGGGACACGGGAGAGGGGACAGGGATGGGGACATTTGTCTGGGACCCACTGGGGGCCGTGGGCTGTGGTCCAGTCTGTGCGGGGACAAAGGTGCCGGTGAGGCTTTGGCAGCACCAGTCCGGGCTGGAAGTGTCTGATCTACAAGAGATAAAGCTCAGCAATAAGTATTAAATTAAGAAATAAACTAATTTAAAATGGGGAAGAAAGGCAGAGCTTGTGAATAAACGGGGGCTGAGTCGTATTTAGTGGGGCGTGTGCTGCTTTGCAGGTTTTAGAGGTTTTATTATGACCAGACGCCCCAAAGCTCCCTTCTCTCCCCCGGCTCTGGAGGGATCCCACCTCCAGGAGAGGCCGCCTGGGGAGAGGCTGGGATGGAGCCCCTGGCTCCGTGTGGGGGGTTTGCTGAGCAGCTCCCGGAGGGAAGGAAGCCGGTCAGATGGGGAACCAGAAAGAATTGGCCAGGGAGCTCTCTGCCAAGCACTGAGACGTCTCAGGGAGCTCTCGGGAGCCGGGGCTGAGGTCCCCTATGTACTCCCTGATCCCTCCAAGGTCCCCTCCCTCCAAGGTCAAAGGAGGATGCTTGGAAGGTCAAAGTGGGACGCCTATGGATCTGCTGGCTCTTTGGCGAGAGGAAAGAGGGCTGGGTGTCTCCTGCTCTTGCAGAGACACCCTGTGGCACTTTCAGTGGCTTCTCTCCTAAAGCCTCTCTCCTGAAGCAGGCGTCTCTGCGATCTGCTCCTGACTCTCCTATTTCTGTGTGTTTTTCAGAGGACCTTTATCTCAGCCTTCCTGCCAGGACACGGTGCCGAGATGCAGCCCGTGCCCCTGCAGAGCCTTTCGGAGCTGGAAAGAGCCCGGCTGCAGGAGATCGCGCTCTACCAGCTGCAGGAGAAGCTGCTGGTGGGGGACCTCAGCCTGGCCAAAGGTGGGGGACGGGGTGGGACAAGGGGGGACTGAGCTATTACTGCTCCTCATCCCTGTCTGCGCTGGAGTTTGTTGGAAAGGGAGCGATCATGGAAACTTACGGGGCTCTTCTCATGGCTCCGGGGGCCAGATAAGCAGCCGCTTCCCCTGACATCTCCTTCCTGCTCTCCCTCCTTGCTCCCTCTCCCCGGGGGGGGTTCCTCCTCCCAGCCCTGAGGCAGCAGCATCCTTGGTGTTTCTGCTCCCACCATCCCTGTCCCTCCCACTCTGCCCAGAGCCACCAGCTTTGTCCACAGAAAGGTAATTTCCATCAGTGTGTCCGTCCTGGGGCTGTCTGTCCATCCCTGGAGCTGCTCCCGTCCTGCCCAGAGGCTCCTGCTCCGGTGCCACTTCTGCTCGTCCCGTGTTTCTGGGGTGGGAGAAACACGGGAGCTGTTGCTGGGGGGCCAGGGGGGTTCTTGCCTCTCCAATATTTCATCCGTGCCCCCTTCTCCCACCCTGGCTGCCCTGGGAGAGCTGGGGGGGTTCAGCCTGGAGAAGAGAAGGCTCTGGGGAGACCTTAGAGCCCCTTCCAGTCCCTAAAGGGGCTCCAGGGAAGCTGGGGAGGGACTTTTTACAAGGGCTTGTAGTGATAGGACAACAGGTAATGGCTTCAGACTGAGAGGGGAGATTCAGGTCAAATATTAGGAAGAACTTCTTTGCTGTGAGGGTGGTGAGAGCCTGGCCCAGGTTGCCCAGAGAAGCTGTGGCTGCCCCATCCCTGGAGGGGTTCAAGGCCAGGTTGGAGGGGGCTTGGAGCAACCTGGTCTGGTGGGAGGTGTCCCTGCCCAGGGCAGGGGGTGCCACTGGGGGGGCTTTAAGGTTCCTTCCCTTCAGCTGAATTTCTTTGTCTTTAGCTGAATTCCCTTTTTGGCATGCTCTTCTGGGGAGTTCACAACAACTCTCCGGTATTTATTTATTTATTAAATTTATGTAACTTTCTAAATATCTTTAGAAACTGAAAAGCTGGCCAAAAGAAATGCCACAGAGACAGCAGCCCCCCCGGCCCAGGGGATGGAGATGGGCAGCCCCTGCCCAACCAAGAGCCTCGTCACCACCCCCCGGGGCTGTTCTCACTCCTCATCGAGGAGGTTTCCAGGCATTTATTGTTCATTATTGCCTGAAATCCCTGTGTGGGCAGGCCCCGCTCCCATCCTGTCCTCTGGCAGCCTCTCTTCTGGGTAACCTTGGTCCTTTTCTCCCGTTTATGGCTGCTGGTTGCCCTTTGGCCCGTGCCCGGGTTCCCCGGGTGCCGGGTGGCAGCTCCCAGGTGAGTGCGGGGCCAGGAGCCGGGGGCCGGTGGGGGTCCCTCCCCGGGAGCTGCGAACGGTGGGGAGAGACCCCCGGGACACGGGAGAGGGGACAGGGATGGGGACATTTGTCTGGGACCCACTGGGGGCCGTGGGCTGTGGTCCAGTCTGTGCGGGGACAAAGGTGCCGGTGAGGCTTTGGCAGCACCAGTCCGGGCTGGAAGTGTCTGATCTACAAGAGATAAAGCTCAGCAATAAGTATTAAATTAAGAAATAAACTAATTTAAAATGGGGAAGAAAGGCAGAGCTTGTGAATAAACGGGGGCTGAGTCGTATTTAGTGGGGCGTGTGCTGCTTTGCAGGTTTTAGAGGTTTTATTATGACCAGACGCCCCAAAGCTCCCTTCTCTCCCCCGGCTCTGGAGGGATCCCACCTCCAGGAGAGGCCGCCTGGGGAGAGGCTGGGATGGAGCCCCTGGCTCCGTGTGGGGGGTTTGCTGAGCAGCTCCCGGAGGGAAGGAAGCCGGTCAGATGGGGAACCAGAAAGAATTGGCCAGGGAGCTCTCTGCCAAGCACTGAGACGTCTCAGGGAGCTCTCGGGAGCCGGGGCTGAGGTCCCCTATGTACTCCCTGATCCCTCCAAGGTCCCCTCCCTCCAAGGTCAAAGGAGGATGCTTGGAAGGTCAAAGTGGGACGCCTATGGATCTGCTGGCTCTTTGGCGAGAGGAAAGAGGGCTGGGTGTCTCCTGCTCTTGCAGAGACACCCTGTGGCACTTTCAGTGGCTTCTCTCCTAAAGCCTCTCTCCTGAAGCAGGCGTCTCTGCGATCTGCTCCTGACTCTCCTATTTCTGTGTGTTTTTCAGAGGACCTTTATCTCAGCCTTCCTGCCAGGACACGGCGCCGAGATGCAGCCCGTGCCCCTGCAGAGCCTTTCGGAGCTGGAAAGAGCCCGGCTGCAGGAGATCGCGCTCTACCAGCTGCAGGAGAAGCTGCTGGTGGGGGACCTCAGCCTGGCCAAAGGTGGGGGACGGGGTGGGACAAGGGGGGACTGAGCTATTACTGCTCCTCATCCCTGTCTGCGCTTTGCAACGTGGGGTGATGTTCGTGGAAAGACATTTGCGACACAGTTTTGGTGCCTTTTATTTTCTTGTTCCCTGCTTGGGTCTGGAAGGCCCTGATGAGCCCTTTGAGGAGGGTTTGCGTGTCCCCAGGAGTGTGAGAACCTGACCTTGCCTGTTGTCCCCCTCGCGTCCCCCTAATCCAAACCAGATGCGGTGGGACTTGGCAGGGTCTGCACTGGGACTGTCCTAACGCCGCTGGGACGGGACAGGCTTTGCTTCTCAGATTAATGTCCACACAAAGCCCCGACGCCGGGACGGGGCTCACACGAGGCTGGGAGCTGAGCTACTGATGTTAACGAGCAGATAAATATAGAAGCTCCGGAGGGACCAAGCTCTGCTGCCCCGGCCCACAGAGACCCCCAGGCACTGTCTGGGTTCCCATGGCCACCCCCGTGTGCCCCCCCCGACGTCTACACGTCCAACCACACACATCCTGCTGCCTTCTCTTGTCTTTTTTATTTTGAGCTGTGGTGATCCCCGTTTGGGCGATATCCCTGCAGCGGGGGCTGCTCCAGAGAATGGCACAGTGCAAAAAAAAACCCCAAATCGCCTTTCCTTCCTTGCAGTGAAGTGTGATGTGTCTTGTCCCTCGGGCTCCTCTCTCCCCCAGGATAAGTGCAGGGGTGTGTGCCCCCCCGACGTCTACACGTCCAGCCACAAACATCCTGCTGCCTTCTCTTGTCTTTTTTATTTTGAGCTGTGGTGATCCCCGTTTGGGCGATATCCCTGCAGCGGGGGCTGCTCCAGAGAATGGCACAGTGCAAAAAAAAACCCCAAATCGCCTTTCCTTCCTTGCAGTGAAGTGTGATGCCTCTTGTCCCTCGGGCTCCTCTCTCCCCCAGGATAAGTGCAGGGGGTGCAGCCTCCTGCTCTCCCCCCAGCTGTATTCTGGATGCCACTTTCAGGCTCACCTGGTTTTTCTCTTCTAAATCTTACGGGATAACCCAAACAATGATACGAGCTGTGTCTAGGGAGAGAATTCCTGAGGGATAAGAAACACAAGCCGGAGCAGGACCATCTGTCCCGGGTTTGGGGTGGGCAGTGGGTGAGTTTTCAGTCCCTGGGTGCTCGGAGTGGGAATATGTGGGAGTGGGGCTGGCTCTCTGGGGCCAGTGTGGGGCTTCTGGTGGTGCGTGTTTTCTCTGACTTTGTCTGTAAAACTCTCACGAAGGCTTTTTCTGGGGGCCTATTCCTTTCTTCCAGTGCTGAGAGCAGACCTCTGAGGGTGAATTAAGGCCGCTTTCAGAGCTGTTAAGTGATTGCTAGGACTCGGTCACTAACACAGAGACAGTCCGTAGGGACAGGGCTCTGCCGGGGGGGACAGCCGGGCGAGGGGGGGACATCTCTTTAAGGGGAGATGGCACTAAGAGAGCCCAATGACACAGAACCTTGGCTTTGTCTCCTCACAGTCAGACCTAAAGGCAGCAAATCCATCCGCCAGAAACTGGAGAGCTTCTCAAAGGAGAGGAAAGGTGAGCAGCCTCCCTTTCCCTGGGGTTTTGGCCCCTGCTCTTGAGGGGAATGGGTGGGTGTTGGTGGAGCTGAGCTGGGAGGTGCCTGGACCCCACCAGGCGCTGTGTCTCCTCTTGGTTTGGTGTTCTCCGGGGTGTAACGGGACGTGCACAGGGATGAGGGACTCTGGAAAGGATGTGTGTGCATGAAATGTGCTTGTGCATCCATCTATCTATCTATCTAAAGACACATATATATATATAAAAGAATATTTGTCCCTTTTACCCCGTGCCTCCCTGCACTGAGTTTTGGTTTACTGTCCCTTGGAGGACGTCAGCCACAAACCTGGGGAGCCCAGGGGCGCAGAGCACCTCCAGCTGGGAACCAGAACATTCGTCACTTTCCTCACACCAGCACAAAGCCAATCAAGGAAATTATTGCACTAAATGGGTCTGTGGCTTGTGCTCCGGTTGCCAGCCCCTGGCCCAGGGTGATGTTGGGGCTGGAAGGAAGGAGAGCTCTTGCTTCTGCAAGGAGATGTGGGGCAGGGGGGGGGAAGTTATTTGGGGAAAATACCATAAATACCAAGACTGTTACTCTCCAGCAGACGTAACTGACGCAAACCCTGTAGAAAACTGGAGGTTATAATTTGGCAAGAATGTTTCGTATCAAATATTTCTGGTGATTTATGAAGTCTCTGCTTCTCCGTGGGGCTGTAACCAATAAAAGGAAGGAAAGTTCAGGAAAAAACTGGGACAGGCTGCAACAAGCACATTGATGGAGGGCAGTTTTCCTGCCATCTTCCTACCTCCCCCACATCTCCCTCCTCTTCCTCTGGCACACAGACCCCACAGTGTCTCCATGGGGCTGTAACCAATAAAAGGAAGGAAAGTTCAGGAAAAAACTGGGACAGGCTGCAACAAGCACATTGATGGAGGGCAGTTTTCCTGCCATCTTCCTACCTCCCCCACATCTCCCTCCTCTTCCTCTGGCACCTCCCACTCTGTGTCCTCCCCGCTCGGTCCCTGCCTGCCCTGGAGTCCCACCACACAGTGCTTGGGCCTTTCCAGGGGCAGCAGCTCCCCTTGGGTTTGCCCAAGGTCATTGGGGATGCTCTTCCCACCCACCCCAGGCACTCTGGGCTCCTGGGGAGCTGGAGGAGGAGTGGGATAGTCACAGGACTCCCATCCTGGATTCGAGCTACAGATCTCCTGGTCATGTATTGAGTTGGTTCTACTGCTCTTCACTGTCCTGCTGGTCACAGGCACTCTGGGCTCCTGGGGAGCTGGAGGAGGAGTGGGATAGTCACAGGACTCCCATCCTGGATTCGAGCTACAGATCTCCTGGTCATGTATTGAGTTGGTTCTACTGCTCTTCACTGTCCTGCTGGTCACCTTTACTTTGTGGTCACCTTTACTTTGTGTCACCTTTATTTTCTCCAGGTGTGCACTCCTGCCCCTGGCAGCTGGGTCATACCAGTGCAGCTGCCTCTTGTTTTTCCCTCTGGTGATACCTTTCCCTCTCTCCCGTGTTTTTTCCCTAGACTGCTCTCCTCAGACTTTTGGGATCCCCCTCTCCCAAGTCATCGCCAATGACCGTGCCTACAAGCAGCTGCAGGAGGAATTGAAGAAGAGCCGCCGGCTCTGCCTGGAGGTGGAAGCCACAGTGAGGAGGTTTCAGGCACAGAGGCAGAAGAGGTCCCCCGTGGGCAGGAGCTGTGGGCTGGTGCCCTGCGGGGTCTTCCCGGAGGAGCCACTTTCCCCGACTCTTCTCGACAACAGGTCCTGGAGCCAGCGAAGGGTGAGGTTGCCAAAATGGGTTGCACTGTGGTGGTGGTGATGATGCAGGTTGGGGGATGCTCTGACTCTGGGAATAAATGTGGGTTCCCATTCTCTTACACCCCAGGCAGGCTCTGTAGACATCTGTGTTCCTTTGGAGGTGGTAGAATCATAGAATCACAGACTGGTTTGGGTTGGAAGGACATTAAAGCCCCCCCAGTGGCACCCCCTGCCCTGGGCAGGGACACTTAACATCACACCAGGTTGCTCCAAGCCCCCTCCAACCTGCCCTTGAACCCCTCCAGGGATGGGGCAGCCACAGCTTCTCTGGGCAACCTGGGCCAGGCTCTCACCACCCTCACACCAAAGAACTTCTGATGCCTCCCACAAACTTCTAAGGTCACGGCAATGGGGATGTCCTGGTACCTTGTGGAGTAGCTCCTGCCACCCTGTGACTCACCTCTGCTCCCCCTCAGGGGGCCATGTCCGTGGACTCCATCACTGACCTGAGTGACAACACGTCCAAGCTGCTGGAGGCACTGCAGTTGTCCCACCCCCGCGAGCTGGATCGACGCCGAAGCCTGGGCAAGACAGAGATGTTGAGTCTCAACCCCATCACCCAGCAGGTTCCACGGATTGTGGAGAGGTGTTGCCAACACATCGAAACACACGGTAAATAGGCACATCTCTCCGGCCAGACAGGTCATCCCATGGTCAGTTGGTAGAACCCACCACGGGTGTTGGGCTGGGGCGGTTTGGCCTTCACCCCCCTTGCAAATCCAGCATTAGCTCAGAGTGACTCCACAGATGAGGTCTCCTCCCTGACCCACAGACAACCCCAGAAAATCTTATGGCTCCGACACCTTTTCTTCAGTGCAGGAGAACCTCTTCCATGGTGTTGAGGAACTCCAATGAGCAGTTGGGGTGGTGGGGGGCTGTGGGAATGCCGAGCACTGACCTGTCTATCTTCCAGGTCTCCAAACGGTGGGCATCTTCCGGGTGGGGAGCTCCAAGAAGAGAGTTCAGCAGGTAAAGTGAGACATTTACTGCATCCTCTGAAGCTGGGCGGCATCCAAAGGACAGATGCTTGTGTGGGTGGGGAATGAATAAAGGAGATGTTGACATGGAGAGGTCTGAAATATCACAGGCACTGGCTGGATCTCAGATGACCTGTTACCTGGGTCCTTCTCCGGCCATGAAGAACAGGCTTCATCTCCCCAGGCTGCCTTTAGCAGATGAATCTCCATCCTCTGGGTGGCACTTGAGAGTCCCCTCTGGGCTCCCATCACCAACCAGGAGCTCCGTCTGGTTCCGTGGCCCATCTTCTGGGCAGCAGTGGGCTGTTGGGCTCTGGAATGTCTTCTCTGGGGGTGACCTGTGTCAGGGGGACACTGGGAGTCACCAACCCGCCTGTCCTGCCATGGCAGGAGCTCTGTATGGGGACCCCACAGACCCCACCAGCACAGCTTGTGTAAAGAGAAAGAACCAACTGTTGCTTTTATTCTTCTCCTTTCTTACTCCCATCCTGAAGCTGAGGGAAGAGTTTGACCAAGGACTGGACGTTTTCCTGGATGAGCATCAAAGTGTCCATGACGTGGCTGCTCTGCTCAAAGAGTTTCTCCGGGACATGCCGGATCCCCTGATTCCCAGGGAGCTCTACGCTGCCTTCCTCCGCACGGCCTGTGAGTACGGGGAGCGGGGAGGGTCCCCCCACACAGCCCCCCCACCTCTGCCTTTGTAAGGAGAAAAAAAGGGATTTTTCCTCTTGTGCAATGACCTGGCTCAGGACCAGGTCCCCAGTTTGTGCTGCCCAGAAGAGTCTTTGCAGATGCTCTGTCCGGGTCCCCCCGTCCTCTGAATCTGGGGTGCCTGAGATCTCAGATGGTCTCCACAGCTTCCAGCATCACTCCTTCTTCGTCTCCTTCACAATCTCTTCGCTTCCCTTTTGCCATCCTTCTCTCCTCAGATTTGATTCTCCAAATCCTGGGATCCCTGTGTTAAGTTTTGAGGAACTCACAACAATTTATTGTCACTTAGACAAATATTCTCTCACCCAATGACCCCTCCCCACCACTCTTTTAAACCCTTCCAGGGATGGTGACTCCACCACTGCCCTGAGTGACCTCTTCCAAGGCTTGATGACCCTTTCAGTGTAGAAATTTTTCCTAATATCCATCCTAAACGTCCCCTGGTGCAACTTGAGGCTGTAATTGGATTATAATCCCTGTGATCGAGGACAGCCTTTGCCTGTGGGGCTGCCCAAAACCAAACACGAGCCCCTCGCAGCCCCTGCTGGGGTCTCCTGGGGCACTTATCCGTGCATGGATGGGATGAAGGAGAAGAAGCCAGTCTGCTCCCTCCAGAGCTCGTTAGGGGGGATGTAAACAAGGGTTTTCCATCTGGGAGGGGCTGGGAATGGCACTAATTAACGGGCTGCTCTCTGCCTAGCCATGGAGGGGCCGGCTCAGCTGACCACCCTCCAGCTGCTGCTCTTCCTGCTGCCCCCCTGCCACAGCGACACCCTGCACCGGCTCCTGCGGTTCCTGGGTGAGGTGGCCCGGCACGCCGAGGGCTCCCATGGGCCCCAGGGCCAGCAGGTAAGGCTGCCCAAAGGGGCTAGCTGCATGGGGAAGGGGTGGCCCCAAACTTCGTCGGTTAGAACTGAGCAGAGCTTCTGGCAAAGTCGGGGTGAATCCTTTGGCAGAGCCAAATGGTTGATAAATTGCCTTGTCCATGGCAGGTCTGGGTGGCTCCCAGACCAGCTAAGGGACCTTCTAGGGTGCTGCCACCCCAGAGGGACCTGGCTCTGTGTCCATAAACATATTTTTTTTGTGGACTAATTCTGGTTTTCCACCTCCAGCTTTCATGAAGGACTTAGGATCATGCATTGAGGTTGATTTCTGGGCTGCCAGCACATGCTGCCGGCTCATGTTGAGCTTCTCATCAACCAGCACCCCCAAGTCCTTCTCCTCAGGGCTGCTCTCCAGCCATTCTCCACCCAGCCTGGAGTTGTGCTGGGATTGCCCCAACCCACGATGATATAGAAATAGGGATTGTTACCTTCTGGTAGGGGTTGTGAAAGTGAGGGGAATGGAGGCCCTGATGTAAGGAGGGGATGAGTGTGTGCTCCAGCACTGCATGCCCTCCCACCAGCTTGGAGGGGACCAAACTGGACCCAGATCAACACCCTGAGTTCACTCAGGAGTTCCTGTTCCTCTTCTGGGGTGGGTGATACTGTCCTGGGACATCTCGTGCTGGTGCATCTATAACCTGCAGTTTCCTTTTGTGCTTCCTTGCTAGATTCCTGGGAATAAAATGACGGTTTCAAACCTGGCCACAATCTTTGGTCCCAACATCCTTCAGAAAGAGAAGCCTGGGGAGAAAGACGCTGGTGCCATGAACTTTGAAGACAGCGCTGCCATCATAGTGGTTCTCCAGAGGCTGATTGAGCACTGCCAGACCTTGTTCACGGTAGGTGAGGCTTCCTCAGGGCGGCTTCTCCAGAGCTTTCCTGCCCCTCCAAACTCCTCCGGTGGCAGCAGGAGGAAAGACGTACCCACAGCCCCACGGCAGCAGACGGCTCGAGTTGGCCTGTGAAAGTGTGATTCATTCCTCATGGTGTAAATATCAATTTGGGATGGGTTGTTACTGGTTTGGTAAAGGCAGAGCAGAGGATCATGCCAGGAACAAGGTCCCTTCTTCTCTGTCACCTTCCACCCCAGTGACATCTGACCGAGGTCGTGTGGGACAGGAAACAACTGGCCAAGAGGAACTGCATGACCGGCACCTCAGAACTGTTTTTCCCCAAAATTCCCAGTGAGGGGGGAAAGAAGAGGGAAAAATGGGAGCCCTTAGAAGAGGGAAGGAGCAGGAAGGTGATGGTGTGGGGTGGAGGTGCCACAGCCTTGGGCAGATGTGGGGAGAGCTTCCAGGGGTGCCCACCTCCAGGTATGGGGCAGCCACAGCTTCTATGCCACAGCCTCGGGCAGATGTGGGGAGAACTTCCAGGGGTGCCCACCTCCAGGGATGGGGCAGCCACAGCTTCTCTGGGCAACCTGGGCCAGGCTCTCACCACCCTCACACCAAAGAAGTTCTTCCCCAGATCTCATCTCCATCTCCCCTCTTTCAGTGTCAAACCCTTCCCCCTCCACCTCTGGCTCCCCTCCCTGATCCAGAGTCCCTCCCCAACTTTCCTGGAGCGTCTTTAAGGACTGGAAGGGGCTCTAAGGTCTCCCCGGAGCCTTCTCTTCTCCAGGCTGAATCCCCCCAACTTCTAGAGACGTTCCAGAGAAATACCAAACTGTTTGTTTCCTACAGGTCTATGGGAATGTGACATTCTAGAGACGTTTCAGAGAAATACCAGAACTGTCTGTTTCCTACAGGTCTATGGGAATGTGACATTTCAGGTCCCAAAAAGCCTTGTAGAACTGTCAGGTCTAGAGGGAGCCAAAGGTTTGGGGCTAGTGTGGGAAAAGCAGGGGCTGAGATCCTGCTCAGACCCCCAGAGGTGTGTGGGACCTGACACCAGCACAGCGGGTCTCTGAGCACCTACTCACCCGGGGTCCTTTACTGTCCTCGGCCACCCCTGCTCGTGTCTCCCTCCCAGGTCTCCCCCGAGATGCAACACGACGTCCTAAGGAGGCTCTTTCAGACAGACCCCGATGTCATCGACTACCTTCTGCGCAGGAAGTTCAATGCCGGGCCGTAAGTCCCCGTGGGGCTGCTGGGGACACATCGGTGCTGGGGGACACCTCACTGCTGGTGGACACCTCTCTGCTCACCATGATGCTGTGGGAGAAACCCTGCTGATCCTCCTGCCCATCTTTTCTCCTCCTTCCACCGCTTTTGGTGATGAAATCCCCAGCTAAAATCCTTTGCTTCCCGCACTGACACCCAACAGCTGGAGCATCCCAGGTTTTCTGTCTCTTGGAGCTCCCTGTTCTCCAGATTTTCTCCGCCCTCGGTGGTGTCTGCATTTCTGTGCATTTTGTGCCTGTCCTTTGTGCACACGTGTGTGTGCGTGTGACAGTCTGTGTTCTGGCTGCAGGGTAGGACAGTCCCAGAGATGCTCAGAGTCTGAGCTCTTGCCCTTCCCCCTGATTAAAAAAGATGGGGTGAAGGGGCCTTGTGTCCCATGATGGCATTGACACAGGAGATGTTTTACTCCCCTGGGGTTAAAAGGCAGCCTTTGCTCTCCTTGTGGAGCTGGTGAGTCCATCAGCCGACGTGGACTGTCCCGTGCAAAGGGCTTTCCTGGAGCCCAGACCTTACAAGTCATCTCTTTCCCACTCCTTGTCTGTCTTCATGTTCCTTTTGGGACTGTCCAATGAGATGGCAAATCTCCGGGGTCACTGCTGGAGGCCATTCGGGTGTGGAGTTGGCCGTAGGAGCCGTTTGCTGATAACACCTCTCTCTCCTTTGAACTTTCTTAGGAGCACGGAGAGCGAGGATTCAAGGGAGGAGCAGGGTCCATCCCCACCACCTGCTCGGACCCGCACCCTGGGGAGCAGCGCGGTGTCCTCGGAGTTGTACAGCAACGTCTCCTTCCTAAACCTGGACGTTGGCATCTAGCAAGCCTGGTCTGTGCCCTCGGCACGACCATCTGCGGACAAAGCTGGGCAACCTTTCTCTGGCAAAAGCTGTCCCGCTTCGGAGGAGAGGAGTGGGAACCTCTGTGGGAGCATCTTTGCTGCCAGCAGAGATTCCAGATGGTTGTGGTGCCGTCAGAGCCACAGCAGGAGATGTGTGTGTGTGAGTTGCCACCAGAAGGGCTTCCCAGGCCTGGGTTCCTTGGGCGATGGCAACCAGGAAACCCGTGTGCTCGAGCAGCAGCTGTGGGAAGGGGAGCGAGCCAGGAGGCCACGGGGACGTGCTGTCGCCTTGTGTGGAGCTCTGAGGAACAGTCTCTGTCACCTACTGCTCCTTAGGAGTTGGAGGCACGTGGTGTTCATCCCCACCGCTGTGAGCTCCTGGCTCAGGGTTGCCAGCATGATGGGTGGCAGCGCGGGCCACCACAGGGTGGTCTTGTGTCCTCCCTACCCAGGCAGGACAACCTCTGCCCTCCGAATGACCACCAGCCCCCAGCACTGGGATGGAGAACTGGTGCAGACTGGGGAGCACTGGGCAGGAGTGTGGTGCCTCATGCCATGCTCGGTGGACAGGACTCGGAGCTCCAACTCAGACCCCACCTGGTGCACCCCCTGGCATCTGCTGGGTTCTGGTGGGGCTGGTCACGTAGAGGGACGGGGGAGCCTGGGGCTGAGCCCCCCAGCGCAGACAGGGAGGGGACAGACCTGGATGGGGACCCTGTGGGGCAGCGAGGACGGAAAAATGCCGTGTTCAGCTTTGGGCAGTGGGAGCTTTGGGATCCCCTTTGCCGAAACACGGGACCGTGCGGGGAGACACCTCTCCTGGAGCTGCAGGAACACCCGGGGAGGGGAAGCGACGGCACCGTCACTCAAAGCCACCCCAGCCTGCCACGGTCAGAATCAATCACTGCTCCCTGCCTGGTCTGAACCCGGGTTTCAAACTGCTCCTTTTGTGGACAGAAAACGCCATATTGACCCCAAAACTTATGATTGGTGCAGTAAGGGGGACCAATGTACTCTGAGGACTATAAACTTCAATTTTCCTTGGGTTAATATTCATTAAGTAGACTTCAATTGTATTTTACAGATTATGGTGTCTCCTTGTGGCTGAGAAAAGCCTGGTTTGGTTTGTTCCTGCTGCTCAGGAAGTCACGGCCACTCACATGAAAACATGCATTTCTGGCTGGTGTGTGGCAGAATGAAAGTTTTCAGCAAATATTTTCTATTGTTTTCTCCCCATTTTCTCTGCCCCTCGCCCTGGCAGCCCCTCAGCCAGGATCCCCCGGGAAGTCAGAGGGGAAGCGGGAGCAGAGGAGGTGCTGGGAATTCCACATGCAGATCTCTGCCTTCCCCCATCTCCTGAGATCATGTCCCTCATGAAGAAATTGGGTAGATATTGAAGTGTCGATTGTCATGTTCAGAGTTTAGGTCCCACTTCCAAGGAAAAGCAGCTGGAGAGCGCCGAGAAGGGGGGGGGGGAGCAGGAGGGAAGCTGGTGAGGGAAGTGATGGGAGGAGAACTGGTGCCCAGGGGAGCACTGGTGTGGAACAGGGGGGCAGATGGGGAGGGAAGGAGGGTGGGTGATGCTGGAGGGCAGAGGGAAGGTGGGAATGAGCTGCACCAGGGGCTTTCAGTGCTGGGGGCAGATGGATCTGCTGACCCAGCTCCTCTCATTTGGGCTGCCTGAAACCAGCTGCAAATCCATGGCTTCTCCTCTGGAGAAACTCAGGGCTGAGCCCTTGTTTTCTAAAGGTCCCTTCCCAGTGGATGGGGACAGCCGGGGCGGGTGGAGGAGCAGTTCCTGGAGAACAGCAGGCTGAAGGGAGGGGTGTGGGCTGAGATATAGCCTGTGGAAGCCTCCCAAGAGCTGATAAGCTCCAGAGACGAGCAGAGCTGTTGGGGCTGCAGGAGCGGATAAACTGGGGACACCATGAGGCTGCCGAAGGTTTCTGAGGCCACCAGGAGGCTGGAGTACCCACAGCCAGCTGGGCAACCAAGCCCACGTCCAAGGAGGCAATGGCTGCTGTGTGTGGACAGGCTACAGGATCAGACCTGCTGTAAGAGCAGACCCTTGGGAGGACCTTCCCAGTCTCTTACTGGTCACACTGGTGTGTCAGCGTGACCCTCTGCTCCCCAGTCAACTGCCAGCATTGGTCCCGTGTGGTGTCAGTGACTGGTTATCTCCAGCCCGTTAACAGTAAGGCGCTAACGAGGACAAGGTGTTCCCGTAACTGCTGGCTGTGACTCGGTGGATCTCTGTGTCCCCGCGGGGGGGGGAGTTGGG